GCACTTATCGTTGCCCGTAAAAATAATTGTGATTGTTCACTCCTTTGGAGTGCAAGTGCAACTCAGGCACTCAGCCACCCTGGTAAGCAATCCGACTACGCGTTGGAACGCGGACAATAGGTATTACAAAAAATATTTTGAAAATTGGTGCAACATTTTTAAATACGACCCCGGACCCTTGGTGGCTGGATACACTCGACACATACTGTACACTGTACAGGTACAATCTAGTTTTTGTTACCTACTTTTATATAGTTACATTTACTTATAAAAATAATTGTTGATTGTCGATTGTAATTTGCAATAAAATTATAGCATAAAACAAAATCGTAAATCTAAAAAGAGTAGTTTTTTGTAAAGCTCCAATAAGAAATAGTACAACACCAAAAAATGGAAATGTTATGATAAAAACAGCCATATTGGATTGATTTAAGACGTGTAGTTTTATTTGGTATTTGAAACGAACAGATTAATCTAGAAAGTGACAAGAACTCTGAAAAAGAAAATTTGAGTTCCAAAATTGTTAGAGTCTTGACACTTTATTAACAAAGGTCTTTAAGACCATAATAACACTTTTTAAACAATTTTAACCAAATAAAAGAGTAAGAAAATTATAACCTGCCAAATGGGTTGCCACTCATGCCCCTTAAACAGAAATATGTGGTATTATATTGTAAGTTCAGAATTCTACGGTCTAGATTTGTACGGTCCACAATTATACGGTTCAGGCTTGTACGGTTCAGATAGGTATGTACGTCCAAAATTCTACGGTCCAGATATGTACTTTCCAGTTTCCAGATATGTACAGCCCGGGTTTTTAAGGTCCAGATTTATAAATTCCAGGTTTATACGTGTCCCCGAAATTTTGTATGTAGGAAAAAATATAAAAAAAATAATAAACACCATTGTAAAACCACCCGCTCCGCTCAGAATCTAAAATAACAGATACAGTCATGCTGGTAATGTAGTTAATTACAATAATATTGTTTATTTTACTTATCAAATGTATTTTTAATTTTAATTTTGGTAGGTTTTTTTTCTTTCTGTCAATATATAAATATATATATTTTCATACCTGATGGCTGATTATTGAACTGGATACAAGGAAGATGATAAACTGCGGGGAAATTAACCTTTTTCTAAAATTCGATATAATGTAAATCTGCGATAACATATAATAGGTACCTAAATCATAAGTAACAGATACTTATAATTAATTATGTATTATTATAATAGTATGTCTTTTAGTTAATTATGTTATGTTGTGCACAAATTACTAAATTAGCAAGGTAAATCCAGACACAACGTAACATTATTAATTAAATCTTAATAATATACATACTCACATAATAACACATAGACATAGGTATCTGGTATAATATATGATTTAAGTACCTTTATATTTTATGTCATCCGATAACAGTTATCGTGTCGATAAGTATATTGTATAATGTATAATATACAATATACTGTAGGTATATGACAACAGCCGAATAATAAAATCAATTTTGTCAAATAAGAATGTTGCGTAGGTACCTATATCTTATTATTCTGGGTGTTCCGTATTTTTTTTTGAAAAACTCCGTGAAAGAGTGGGCCAGCGTCCGTACGGGCCCGTTCAAACAAACAAGTAGATTCAACAATAAATAAATACTTGGCATTCATTTTTTTTATTTTTTTGTAATTCAAAAGCAAATAACTGTAGGTACATGAAAATTTCACTGAATGTTCATTTTATCAATTCTTATACATGAAAAAATTTTCAAAATATTTTGACTTGTTTACGCCGTTTACGGACAATTTCATACTTCAATTTTCTTATTGAATATCAATAAGTTTTATCTGTTGGGCCAAAAAGTGTAAAAATTTAATACAAGGTTCCTGATATATTGTTACAATATCAGTTGAAAAATATTAAAAATACATAGGCACATTTTTTTTATAAGCATTTTAAGATCAAATTTATATTTTGTAGTTAAAAATGTATAAACTTTTATATCTAAGGATTAAACATTTAAAACAAGATTCCACGTAATTAGTTAATTCTGTTACTAAAAATACATAAACAGTTTATTTTTATAGTAATTTTAAGTTCAAATTTGGACGAAATTACATATTAAAAACTATTTCAGTTATTTTGTTGTAGGTACACTATTATGCATCTATGATAGTAGATATCACGGTTTGTTGTTGATGTATAACGCGTTATAAATACCTAATAGATATGGTGATATGATGAATTTGGAATTTATAATTTATATAGATACCTATTATAGGTACATTTTTTTTAATACCATAGATAAGTAAATAATATGTCTTATACCTATACTGACATACCGTCTCCGCTCAGAATGGTTTTTCTTATACAATGATATTTTACTATTGAATTCAAATTTAATACCACCCATTATACAGTGACCAACTTGTAACCTACTGTACAGCAGAGCGACATCCACTTGCCCACCTACTGTATAGCAGAGCAACATCCACTGTCCCACCTTTTTTAGATTCTGAGTGGATTGAGATGAATGTATTGATTTTACAATGATGTGTGTTTTTTTTATTTTTATTTTTTATTTTTGTGCCTATTTACACGATAAGTAGTCGAAATAATGCTTCGATTTTCAACTTCAATATCTTGCTCGATGGGAAAGTGAATATTGTTGGTGCATTCAGGAAGACAAATTTTAAAATTCCTAATAATTTTCAAAAGCACCGGGAAAAGCAACATAAAAATTAAGGAAAAACGGGAATTTTTACGCAAAATCATTTTTCCACAAAACCAATTTTGGTTTTTGGTGTAACCCTAATAATTTAATACAAAATTTAGATAAGTATAATTATAGATTAGGTACCTATTGAAAGAAACAAATACTTCCTACTTATGTGGGGTTGATATACCTACTTACACCTAATGTGGTAAATCCTACTACTATCTAGGTTATTTTAAATATAAGTAGGTACCTACCTATTATTGTTATTGGTTATTACTTATTAGTTATTAATAGCCAATAGGTACCAATAGGTAGTGTAAACTACATTATTGTGTAAAATCTTTCACTCGGAACATTTATTAAAAAAATAGTAATAAATACCTTGCTTCGTCTCAAAATGAAAAGGTTCAAACGTAATTTTTGTAATATTGTTCAGCGGAACGTTTTTAAGTTAGCCCGTTCATTCACGAGTATGAATTAGAACCTTTCCATTCTCTGTATCTCATTGAATAATCAACGGATCGATACGATTTCAGGACTGAATTATACAACAAAAAATATTAAATAATAATATGCAAAAAAACCATTTTTCAAAAAAATTGATTTAGAACCTTTCCATTCTGAGACGACGGATTTGGCCAAAATAGTAGGTAGGTACCTGTGTGGCTATGTGATAAATAGGTATTAAGATACTTTTTCAAAGTATTCTTTACAACAGTCAACAGTTAAACATGTATATTATAAAGGTGTAAAATATGGTCACAAGAGTAATCCATGGGCTTACACAGAACAATTATAATCAGTGTTGTGCAATCTATATTTATATGAAGGTACCTATATATTTATATATAACATAATATTATAATATAATAATATAATATACTATTAGTACATGCTATCATCTGTTGTCCAAATTATATACACAGTTGTAAAGGCTCTATAATAGACACTTAAAGATCCCTATTTTTTTTTTTTTTTATAGTATAATAACATTATAATACATATTTTGTGGTTGTGGGCGGCAGAAATTTCGTTATCAACACAATATGCCTTATCAATCTTTCTGTATCCTCATATTATTATTTTCACTTTTCGCTGTTTTTAGTGATACGTTAAAGCTAATACGCGATAGTCGAAAACTGTTCTGTCGTGCCCATAGTGGTGTCTCATATTAACTACAAGGTATTACAATATTAAAGTAGTTCAGTATTATTCTGATCATTCTTCAGAATCGTTAATGTCGTGCGTACAATGTATCGGTAATCACAATTTGTTTACCTATTTTGTTCAAATGTTATTTGAGTATTAGCAGACATTGTGCACAAAACTATAGATTATCAAGATTTATACGTGATACTCACTTGCTCAAACCTAAGTAACATTAGTCACTCTAAAGGTAACTTTATTTTATATTATGCCAAATCGTTAGTTATCTGTGTCGTATACAGTATACGAATTCAATGTGAAGTGTTGATCATTGACTTTTTTTTGTAATATAGGTATATACATATTATAATATTATTTAATAGGTGTAAACTATGCATTTGTCAGTAAAGTAAACATTCAACAGCTGGTTAGGTACAGAGTACAATATTTTTCATTTTTTATACAACCTCCTACAAATATTATGTTCAAAATAAACATGTAAGTAGGTAGGTACTTTTTTATAGGTACTGTTTACATATTTTAGAACTATGCACAGTTTCATATAGATATCATGTTATTTTTAAGACAATAATTTGTATTTTGTGTTTAAATAATATTTTATTGCTTGTAGATACATATACTTACATTGTATCTAAATGTTTATTTGTTACTACCAATATAATAATATATACAAAACAGTGTTATATGTTTATATTAATTGTATAGGTATCTGTATATTATGTTGATATATAAAGGAAGAATTCCTGACTGATTCATAATCAACATACAACAAAAACTATGATAGCTAGTCAGCTAGATAGGTACTTGAAATGTTCATGGTACCCAAGTACTTTTGTAGGTGTACACTAAGAAAGGATTTTCCAAAATTCACATTTTAAAAATGAGCTCACACAGAGATTTGTTGGGTGTATTACTGTATTATACCAAAGACTTTTTATTAAGGATTTAATTATTAATTTTATTTCATTATAAAATTAAAATTATTGAAATATATGATGTCAAGTATTTAAATTAAGTACCTACCTACATACAAAGTTAGACATCTACCCCGATAAAATGTTATTGTAATTAAACATAATACATTTTTGTTTATTTAAGTTTTTGGTCACGTTTTTAGGCATGGCGTTCCGTAGACGAAGTACATCTGGGTCTAAGCCACAGCTTAAGGAAAAAGTTGTACAAATTTATGAGTCATTTTTCAAGGTAAATGAAACTTATAATATTTTTTCTATAATCTTTAATATCTATGTTACAAATATTGAATCAAGTTAAGTCAATAAAATATAAAATTAATATAAGTAATGATATTATATTTTACATTCTGAACAGAATTGAACATTTTTGGTTATACAATATGTTTTATTTTATTTTATCACTTACATTTTGTACAGCTCTACTTTTAAATAGAAAACATAGACAGATGCATCATGTTTATAATGTTTTTCTTTTACAGTTTTCCTTTACTTTTCAAGAATATTTCAAAAATTGTAAAACCAGTAAATTTGCTGTAAAGTAAAAGTTTAAAAATCGTAACAAAGATGATGTATTGATGTGATTTAAAATATTTAGAATATAATATGTAATCTGCTTGTAAATAAAATATAATTAATACAATTATAAATATTCAATAATAATTAGTAACTTGAGCAAGGGTTTGCCTAACAATATCTATTTAAAGTGATAATTTTCGATTTTAAAATTTGATCGTTCCTTAAGTGTTTTCACAATAAAATTACCAATTTTATATGTAATTTGTAGTTATAATATTATATTATTTATATTATTTATATTTATATTATTATCTGATTCTTTTAATTTTGAAATTTTTGAATCTATTTGTATTCTTGTTATTTTCTATAACTACCTACCTAGTTTCTTAAACGTCAGTGATACTTTATGTATTATAATATTATAACTTAGCATGGGTTTTTATATTTTCCATTTATTTTTATACAGGGTGAAGATGTATCAAAAGACAATGATAATTTTTGGGATGAATTTTTCCTACTGAAACCTAAAGTATGAATTAACTTCCTCAGTAACTTACTTCAGTTTCTATCTTTAACTAATTTACATGTTTAATATTTTAGATATCATATATTGAGACAGAAATAGAAAAATTAAGTATTGAACAATTGATTACACTTCAAGATAATATAAGACTTTTATTTATCAAATGTATCACAACATTTGAATGCCAACATCAATTGCGTATAATATTCTCATTAAAGGTAATATTAATATTTAATATTATAATATAAAGCTAAATACTATTGATTTAGTAGTAATGTATTGGTTTTAAACGTTTAAAAAAATTGCAAACCTATATTGAAATTAATTTATTCTACTTAAATTATTAAACAAAATTATATAGAGCTAATATTATTTTAATGGCACTATTGCAATAGTACAAATATATTATACAAATTGTGGTAAATAACCATTGTTTGACAGATATATTAAATATTTGTTAGTACTATTCATTTAGTAGTGATCTGTCAAAAAATATTTATCAACTCCATACCTGTTAAGCTACCAATTATTCAACATATTACATTTTAAAATTGTATGCCTAATGTAAATTGTTATACAATCAATTTTAAGATATCAGACAATCCAGTGACATACTGGTGATGGGTCAAAATTATGCCTAGAAAATATTTCTAAAATTTGTGATTGTGGGTAGGTTGAAAATAAATAATATGATGAGTAAACATTTACTTAAATAAATAAATAAATATGCCTTCGATGTGAGGGTATACTCTTCACAAATAGGCTTCAAAATAGTACGAGTCAACATGCCACGTGAACATACTTCATGGCAATATAATTTACTACACTGACAAACTAGGTATAATAAATAAATTTATAAATTTTAGTTATTGTGTGAATGAAATATAAAAACTAATGATTAGTTAAGTATAACACTTATAACAGGGAATACCAAATGGCGGTCCTTGGGTGGTGAACTTATCTGCCCCTTAGATAAGAAATTAAAAATACATTTTTTTTTTAGTGTTGAATTAAATGAGCTTTTTATTCATTTTAATTTGATTTTTGATTATGCCTATACACTCAATATAAACACATTGTACTTTAAAAGTTGTCCTTCCAAAAAGTCCTACATTTCTAAAGTAGCCCTCCAAAAAAAATTATTTGGTGATCCCTAACTTATAGTAGGTATAATAATATTTAAAACATATTTTATTAATTTATGTATCACTTATTGTTTTATTTATTAATTTATAATTAATTTAATTTTTAGACATTGACATGTTTAGTGAGCAGTTTATACAAAAAATTTAGAATCAACCCAACATTTGAATTTATTTCTATATTGGTGATACCAAAGGACACTGATATGGTTTTTGAGAATTTATTGGCAAAATGCAATATTATGTTACGTGGTAATAAACATGTTCATTATGTGACTTAATCTAAAAAATATCCATCACATAATTAATTTATAATACATTTATTTTTAAATACTGCAACAGTAGTTTTGATCTGACCAAACATATTTTGTATTTCATCATTAACAGCATTCACTAAATGTTGTACATACTACACCTTAGATCATTTACTATGGATGGAGCCATGTCTCAATATTGAAGCACATAATATAAGCGTCAAGTCACTGGCTAACGGCCCGTTTTACAATCATGGTTAAAACCACGGTTACGCTTAACCCACGTATTTTACCGGCCAAATTCCACGGTTTAACCTTAGTTTAACTATTGTAAAACGGGCCCTAAGATGTTCTATCTGTACAAGTGTGTGTATACTCATCTAGTCATCTCATATTTATGCTAATGACTGCATTCTCCCTGGGTATTAATGAGTGATAAATATATAATGAGGATACTTGCTCAGATAACGCATCTTAACCAGCTATTCATCTCTATTATGTACTTCTAATTTTGTATATAGGTAAGATAGGCTATGACTCCATCCATTGTATATGATCTAAGTACTACACATTTGGTTATTTGCTATTGATAATGTGATAATATTTACTTTAAAAAAAAATATACATATTTATTCGATATTAAATTGCAAAATGTATTTTCAAAAAAATATTTTCTTACAAGAAAATATTCAAAAACAAATTTAATTAAGTAAAAACTAAAAATATAATTAAATGTATTATTGTAATTTTTCTTAACTTCTTTATTGTATTCTTGAATTTTTTTTAGTTTCATAAAAATTACTGTTTTAAAAATAAAGAATAATTTGTTTCCACGCTGCAATAAAAATAAATGTACTTTTTTTTATAATTTTAATGTTTCAGCTAAAAATTAATGGTTATATTTTTTTTTTCTTAAGAACCCGAATGTGTTGTTGTTAAAGACTTATGTCTACAATTTTTACTGACAGTTGTTACTGGCACCGACAACCTCAATGAAAACCCGTCTCTACGCCATTTGATGACAAACAGTGTTTTTGAACCTTTGACAGAAGTACAAATTAATATTATTAATTAAATGACTTATTAATATGAATATTTTATAGGTTCTTTCAAATAATATATATCAGACATATCATGGCTATGATTCTATTCTGCTCTTGACATTACTTATGAATGTTGAGACTGCTAAGAAGACAAATCCATATGTTGTCAAATTATCGCTGTTAGACAAAGAAGATACTTTAAATGGTTATAGCCAGGTAATAATAATAGATTATAACACGCATTAACATTAATATATATTTTTTTAAATATTAATAGAATTATATAATAAAAAGTGGGTGATGACTTAAGTTCATTAATAGGTATAGAAATTAAAAGACAACATGTGGATGTAAGTCTTAAAAATAATAATGATGAGTAATTTTTTAAAACCTTGTGTTGGTATGATGTTGTATGGACCAATTTTTTGTACGGCGAAACGGAAGACGTCTCTTTTGTATAACAGCACAAAACTGAAAGGCCTTTGCCGCTGACCATACCAGCCAGGCTGACTAGCTTGGTCCCCACTCTCATACTCCTGTCTATTCCGTGGAAAATTTGAACCGAATTGTGCTGTTTGTGTGCTCCATCATGGATGTTAGTAGGATTGTTGGCTAGTGTTGTAATGCTCGTACATCATGATTATTTCTATTGCGGTCCACATCTAAACCCCCTTCTTGTACATAATATTTCAATGAAAAATACTAATAAAATATCAGTGAACTCGTGAATCAAACCTTCACTCCTTTCATCTATATCTGATTGTTGTTATACTTATCATTTGCTTTTCCCGTTTGGTGCCTTTTATTGTTAGGAATCCATCATAAAATATTGGTAGTATTATTATAAAATTGTTATTTTTAAAGATTATAAGATGGTCATTGGAAGAAATTTGTCAACAATATAGATCAGAAGAAATAGCTCAATACTCAAACAACACATGGTTTAATACATTTACATCGGTTGTAAGCAATATGTTATTTGTACCAGAAACTATTGAGGAACACAATATTGAATTACCTCAAGAAATAAGGTATTATTTGATTTTTTTATTATTATTATTATTAATTACATATTTTTGCTTTACGAATTCCTAGTGTATTATTAATTAGTATTTATTTGGTAAAATTCTACTGACTACTATATCACTGATAGTAAAGTTATTAAGAACTTATAAAGTTGTAAGCATTGTATCAACAACACGTGCAACAAATTATCATTTAATAAAATATATTAGTATATATAGATTATATATTAGATTAATATTCGTATAATAAAATCCTATTTTCTAATTTGTTTTTTAATATTATTGAGTATCCTATGGGTTGAAATTCGTTTATGAACTCGCTTTTTAGATTTTCCCATGACCAGTTTTCTCTTTTGTTTTCCAAATTTTGTAGAAATTTGTTAGCAGTTTCTTTCAAAAATATTGATAGGAACTTAATTTTTTCGTCGTCGTTCCAATTGTTGATCTGTGCTGCCTTTTCGTATTGTCTGATGAAAGTTTTTATGTCGCCTTGTCCGGAAAAACTATCTGGTTTTACTATCATTTTTTCCATTTTGTGTTTTGGATTTTTATTTTCCAATATATTTAATTTTTCAGGTGTATTGTCTATTACGAATTTTGAGTTGCTAAAGAAGGTGGTATTTAAATCTGAATCAGTTTTTATTGGACTTATGATATCTTCGTATATGTGTTCTACTTTTGTAGATTCGTTAGGATCCAAGTTTATTAAATTATTATAATTATTATTAGGGGCTTGTACTGAATCGTTTTGATATAAATTACTACTAAGGTTTTCAATTTTTTCTGCTTGGATTATTAATTTGTTTGCGTTTTCTTCTAAATCTTTGGATAAATCATTTAAAAGGTCGTTATTAATTGTTTTTGGTCTATTTATAGCGCTATTACTCGTTTCTGGGCTTGAATCACTTAAATTGCTCTGTGTGAGTAATTCTGTAATATCAATTCTATCTTCTATTGAATCCTTTTGAACTTTGAGTTTTTGTAGATCACTTAAAGTTTCTTCGATGTCGCCTAATTCTACGATCCCCTTATAGTATCTAGATAATCTAGCCCTTAGGTTATCTACGGTTCCTACACTTTTTAATTGTTTAGATTTGCATAATTCAATAAGATCTGGTTTCTTTTGTATATAAATATCGGTTAATTTTGTAATTTTTTTTCCCAAAGCTATAAGATGTTCGTCATTCATATCATAATAAAATTTATTTTACTTAATTAACACTTAAATAATTAATTTTTCAACAGTTTGAAACTTAAATTAAAATATTTTTGTGGTTATTTAATATTGAATAAACATTTAAAAAAAAATCCTATTTAAATTTATAATGAAACTAATCTACATTCCTAATATTAATACATAAGTATATCACTTAAATTAATATATTTTTGCGGTTATAATTATATCGAAAAAAAATTTTGAAAAGAAAAAAAAAGGAAATAGAGAGAAAAAATTGAACTAAAAAAAAATCCTATTTAAATAGTTTCTATAAAAACCTAATCTACTTGTTTAAAACTTAAATTAAAATTTTGCTGTTATTTAAAATTGAAAAAAAAAAAAATTTTGAAAAATTATTGAACTAAAATTCTATTTAAATTGTTTTAAGAAAAATCTAATCTATAATCCTAATATAAGTATATTACAAAACGTTGCTCACCTTGGCGTATGCTTGTAGACGCACGGTTGCAGAAATTGTACCACGCGGCACAAAACTGGTGTCTTGTCGGTCAGACAAAAATCGAACGCGTATGAGTTACTCACTCGGTATACACACGCACAAAAATTGCGTTCTGGGTTTCTACTGCACCCAAAACACACAAAAAGTATTATTTTACTTTAACACTTTAACAGGTAAAAAAAACTAAACTTGCTCCGGATTTACTACCCGAAACGTGCACAAATGTTGTACTTCACTTGTACAAAAAAAAAATAGGTGTGTCAAGGGAATCTCTCCCAGACTACACGTAAAAACTGTTGTACTTCTCGTACGTAAACACTTTCAAAAAAATTAAACTTGCCAAGGTTGAGGTACCAGGGCACAAAAAAATCAAAAAATGTCTCCGACCGTGGATAAGTAACCCCGTTGGGCGCCACTCTGTGGTATCACCCGTATTGGATAATACGCGGTAAACCACCTTTATACCTTACCCTCGTACGCTCTGGCTAATGACTGTCTCTAGAATATATTCAGATTAGCACTGTTAACCTTTGAGGTACGATGGTAGCGTTTTGTCTGTTCTTCGTTCGTTTCCTAAATTGGAATGACTATTAGGACGCCACAACCAGAGCACTGTTCAGTTTGTAATAAACCTCATTGACTATAGGTGTGTGGGTCTGAGCACTGTTCCAATATTAAAGGTAAGAACGAAGAAGACTTTGAAATAAAACTCAACTCGGGTTTTTAGGTCGGAAACACTTTTATTATATTAAAACAAACATAAATGAAACACTTAGCAAATTCGGATTGCCTAGCCCGTACTACGATCGACGTTTCACACGTACGACCACAGTACCTCCGTCCTCGCCGATTCACTCAGCGACAACGGGACTCTCCGTGCCTGCGCGTGCGGCGGTGTTATATAGTAATCTTATAGCTGTCTCAGCACATATGCTTCACTGACCTATGTCAATGGTTTACAATAAAAAGTTCCCACCTCTATTACATATATGAAATAATATTTAGACGACTGTCTACAATATACGACAGATGTAGTTTTATAGTAGAATTGTTTTAATTAAATTCATAAATATATAGGTAAGTGTGTGTATTTAATTTTTAAATTAGTTTAATATTTTTTTTGTAAATTCAAATAAAAATAAAACACATGTCAACAATAAAGTAAACTAAACAAAAGTACTTAATAAATCTAGAGATATAAATAATTATTCCCTGAGCAATGATCTAACTGGTTCCGTTGATTGATAGAATTTTGCAAGAGGAAAATGTTCAGTCAATTGTAAGAAATTACTATAGATTACAATTACTTCCTATTTTATTTTTTGCATATTTCAAGAAAGTTGAGATCTATAATGTTTGGACTTTGTATTAATAAATAATGCAACTGTCAAATCTCAAATTTCCATTTTTATTCACTATGGATGTTATCATTTTCACTATAAAATATAATGATCAATATTAATCAAGTTTTATTTAATAAACAAATAATTAAATGTATTTATTAATTAAATTTAAGGTCAATGAGTGGAATATTAATTGCATTGTATGAAGCTGTACATTACAACCGAAACTTCATGACTACATTAACGCATTGTCATACATCCAATAACTATGAGTCACACCCCAGTGTTATGCAACAGGCGCAAGCAGTTACAAATAATCCTGATCTCAAATCACCATCAGATAATCAATTCTCCAATCTTCTAGTCACATTTTTTCAATATTGGTAAATTAAATTGTTGCTAAACCATTTGTTTTTAAATTCTAATCAATGTTTGCATCTTGTTAGTTCAATTGTAATGCAGGACACAAAGACTGAAGCAAATGCAAATAACTCAATGCTATGTTTTGTAATATTGTCTAGTATTACTGATGACCAATTTGCCAATTCACTAATGCATGATGTAAATTTACAATTTAAAGTCGATCTTTATAGATCACCTACCAGACGATATATGTTTGTTCCAGACAAGTCACCAAAACCTCTGGCTGCTGCTTTATTAGGTAATAACTAATATTACATTGTACTTACTGTTTGCATAGTTATTTTATGATATTCATAATTAATATTATTAATGTTGTTTATCAAATAATCATTTTCATATAAATTTTGTACATATTATAGATTTGATGATTGAGTTTATGTTGGGGCACATGATGAAAAAATTGCCACTTGACCAATACATGAAATGTATAAGCATAATTCATCGCATAATATGTTACCAAAAACGGAATAGTGTGCGTTTATGTTACAATTGGAAAGATTTATGGAGTTCCTTAATCACACTTTTGAAATTTTTAATGACTTATGAACATCAACTTTCACAAGATATGAATATTTATGATTTAGGAATACAAGTGAGCATAGTTAAACTAAAAACATACCAAAAACGTTGTTTAACTAACTATAATATATTGTATAAATCTTTTGAGTATATTCATATATTAACAAGTTGACTACCATGTGACCGGCGGCGGTCACACAATATGCGTCATCTGAACGCCAAGTATATTTTTCAGTGTCATTCCAAATTTGTATATTATACTATTTCTTTGAAAAAAGTTTAAAATTATAAAAAAAAAAAATTGTAATAATTCGCATTTCGAGCTACGCTACAGTGCTTTTTTGGTGCATTATTGTAGCGCCATGTAAAAGTTAATAATATAAAACGATATTCATTTACGGCTGCCGGCGGTCATGTGGCGTGGTAGTAATGATCAACTGTGGCCACCGGTGATCGCAAAAGCATAACATTTGAAATTTACAAATGACTGCTGGCGGCCGCATGGCAGTCAACTTGTTAATATGGTATTGTTCAACAGATTGTAAATATATTTAACTTGTTCATTACCTATGGCGATATGCTACTTCCATCACCAAGCAGTTACGATGAGTTGTACTATGAAATTATTAGGATGCATACAGTGTTTGACAATATATATGTCTTATGTAAGTATTTATTGAATTGCAATATAAATACATATAATACATTTTATTATTACTTAAAATTATACCATTGCTTAAGAAATTTTCTGTTATTTATTACAAAAAACAATGACTCATTATATTAATCAGTGTTGAGTTAAATAATATATATTTAATAAAATATAATAAAATAGTGCTATTTGTTGAACAATTAATTTTAATATGTTTTAATACATTCTAGCATCAAGAAATTCTTCTTCTGTTAGTGAACACAAGTTATCTGCCACAAAATTGTCCAATTGTTTAATCAATATCAGGTAAGATATGTTTATAATGTTATTATAGCCATAATTATTGAAATAATACTGTTGAATTTTCAGAGCCATAATCAATCATTATATACCAAAAATCGATAATTGGTTAGAGAAGAACTCGGTGACTACACCTGTTGGTGAAGAAGTAACTATTTTATTCTGATCTTTAATTTATTTTAAACATTTTTATATAAATTATCTTAAATAACTCTATATCTTTTAACTAATAATTGTTTTGTCATAATGTGTTACCTATTAATTAAGGAGAAACAAATTAAAAAAATATAAATTTAACTTGATAATTAAAAATGTAAGTTAAAAAAATATACTCTGGGCGGTGTCCAAAGCTTATCTATTTCAACAGTGTTGTAGTATTCACATTAAGAGGACGTCAGACCCGCATGTGCTATCTCCATCTTACACACATACTACATAGCAAATTTTCGTTCGTTTGTTTGAATAGGGTATTGTCAGTTTTGATATTAGAGAGAATTGACCTATTATCAAACTTTTAGGTAACACCATTCTCTGTGTTCTCTCGTTGGTTTTTTACAATATTTTAATTTTGAAGTGAGTTATGGCTATGTAAAGTATTAATATTTGAAAATGCTGGTGCGACGTGTTCATTTGGATGCGCTCTTTTTCTGGACAGAGTATACTCCAATGTATTATGAAAACTTCTACAGTTTACTCTCGATTATCTGTTGTCTTCCACGGAATCATCTACATACCTATATGTATACAAAAAAATACAATATACGTTAGTATACGTAGTTAAAAAGAAGAGTTTTCAAACAAAGAAACAACAACTTGTGACTGATTTTTTTGCACATAAATAATTTATAATTTTTATTAATTTTTCATTATACATGTACATACATTCATTGTACATACATGTGTACCTTTTTAATAATACATATGTAATAATAATTTTCAATTTCAATTTCCAATTTAGTTTTTATTATAAAATTTAATTTTGCGGATTATCCGCAGAATTCGTTTATCCGTGGATGTCCTGCCACCCTATTCCACGGATAATCGGGAGTAAACTGTATTAACATTTGTATTCAACTAATACCATAAAGGGAAATTTTCTTTCATTGTATACTTATATAAATTATTATAATAAAAGAACATAAAATCTTAAAAAAATATATTTGTATTTTGTAATAGGTATTTCAATTAACACTTAACAAACTCTACTGCTATTGCTTAGCATTCATTATAACTTTAATTATGTTTGTTTAAAAAATCATTGTTTTCATCTTTGCATTATTTTGTAGATTTTAGAAGTTGTAAGAAATAATTATGACACACTCACACTGAAATTACTACTGGATTGTTTGGGAAGTTTTGAGTCAAACAAGTCCAATCATGATTTGTCAAGTTCATCACTTATCAAATTAATGGTGAGCAAAGTAGTTAAGGATACACGGCAATCATTAAAACATTCCAACACCGATCTTCAACAAATTCTTCAGAATTTTTCACTTTACACTAATCCATCATGAATATATTTTATCATCATAAAGCAATATTAGGGCCGTTCTTACAATATCTGGTTAAAGTTAACCGACACTTACCCGGCCGAATTCTGCCGGTAATAAAATCCTTTATCAGTCGGTTAACCTTAACCGACACTTTACCGGAAATTGTAAGAACGGCCCTTAATGTTTTATTCAAAAGGTATTCATTTAAACACGATCAAATACAATTTTAGAAAACAATTTTAATGTGTTGCTTTTTTACAATTAGAAATTAAGATTAAAAATTATTGAACGAATTTAATAATAATTCTCATTAAATGATTTTTTTCTTCAACTTATTAAAACTTTCTTATAAGTTATTTTTTTTTTTTTTTTGTTTATTATTATTTATTACTTACTATATGTAAATGTTTACCACATTTTTAATTTAAATTATATTTTATTGATTCTATATTAATTATATGTATAATATATCTATGTAACTGGTGTAAACTAAAATTATAAAATAATACAAAAATTCTGTCTGTCAAACATATTTTTTCTTAAATAAATTTACAGTTAAGTTAGATTTAGACTCTAAACTATATAGATTTAAACAGATTATTGTTTAAAATTTCTCATTAAATAACAGTATTTTTATCATTTACCACTATTGTTGTTTTACTATTTTACCATAATACAATATGATTAATACTGCAAAAAAAAAGTAATATGCAATTTTTCATGTAGGTAGTTACTTGTAAAGTAGGTATCTACCTAAGTCCTTATTACTTTTTAATCTAAAATTAAATAATGATAGGAAGCCAGATATCTCTTACAAAATTGGAGAAGAATAATCCACTAGTTTTAATTTATGATTGCTATTTTTGGAATGTATGAAAATATTGAGTACCAAAACAACTCTGAAAACATCTGTTTTTATAAACCATAAATGGGGTAGTCTACAAGCTTAGCAAGATGGTCATATAAGATTATGTTGTAGGAAAACATCAAGTGCAATAAATTGTATCAAGGATTTTGACATGGGTACTGTATAGCTGTAATTGAAATATTACTCATCTAAAATATTATGTTTTTTATTACCTATCCAATCATTATTTTCACCATGTTATTTACTTAATTATTACTCATAATTAAGACCCGGATTTAAATGCCTTTAAAAACCATACAAATATGCTCTAAAAAATAGCCATAAATGACCTTAAAAATTCCATTTTACCACAAAAATGACCTTAAAAATGCCATATTAATTTTTTGGTGATTATTTTCGGGGCATTATTTAACACAATTAAAATTATGAACATCAAATAAAAACATACAAAATACTACCGTGATTTAACACAAACCCACTAATTATTTGTTATTTATCCGAACACGGGTAGACGCTCTACAGTCAATAATTGAGATAAGATAAAAGTTGAATCGAATGGTTAACAATGTGTATGGAAAAACCCGATAAACCTATTGAACGAAAACAACTTAAATATCAAGAAAGCAATTTATCTTTAAATAATATTTTGAATAGGCTACATTTTCATAGTGTATTGAACAAATATGCATTAAAACCAACAAAAATGACCCAATAAAATGCTCTAAAAATAAAAATACATCGAAATATGCAAAAATATGGAAAATAAAATGTTAAGCTTTGAATCACTCGTTACATGAAACAAATAATGTACTTGGAGAGCATTGTCTAAGGTCAATCAAAAATATATGCACTTTGCATTGAAATCTGGGCCCTTCTCATAGTAAATGTATACATTTATAATTCTGTCTATAATCAAGGCATTAACTAAAAAATAAATGTGGGTATTTTTGAACTAATAATGATATCATGTAAACCAGATGTAAACCTAAATATTAAAAAAAAAAAATATGTTAAACAATGTTGAACATTGTTAGCTTCAAATCTCTAGTTATCTTAGTAGGTATCTTTGATTTTGTATATATTATTATAATAGCTCAAATTAGTGGTGTGGTGAATGAGGTTTTATGATGCCTAGGCGTCATGGTGGAATTTTTTTTTTTTTGGGGGGGGGGGGTGGTTGGGTACATCATGGTAACCAATAACATACACAAAAATTAAAATATTTACAGTAACATAATAATTATAATATGTACTATATATTATATTAAGGGGATAAATAGCGGGTAGGTACTGAAATTATGCTGGGCATCAAGATTTATAAATGTTCATCAAGCCTCTGGTTCAAATTGTTAGTTAAAAACTGTTTAAAAATGTAATAGGTTCTATATTTTTTCTTAGAGATTTTTACAACTACAATAATGACAATTGATAATTTTTAAAAACTTATTGTTAGTTTTGTTTAAAATGCAATAATAAATACCTTAATATTTCCAAGTACCTACCTAGCTATCTATAATATTATCAGGTCTATGTTTTTTTGTATTGATGTAATACGCTGTGGTAATCTCTTTTCTATGGATGTGGCTCCGTCCATAGTAAATAATCTAAGGTCTATACCTTCGACCATATAAACTAAGTTAGTTAATATGGTTATTTATACTAACTTAGTTTATATGGTCGAAGGTTTATACTCTAGTCTATGCATTCATCTTTACAGATAATATAAGGCATAATATACAAGGCATTCAAATAACTAGATCTTATTATAAATCCAAGAATATTTATAGCCCGATATACTATATATTTCTTATTTATACATAATATAACTGTACATACTCTGGTGTCTGGTATATACAGTTAAACCTATTATTAACTAAATTAAATAACTATTTTACCTATTTTAGATTCTGAGCGGAGCGATGAATGTATTGGTTTTACAATGATGTGTGTTTTTTTTATATTTTTATATTTTTTTATATTTTTTTTTGTGTCTGTCATCACGTTTTGGGAAAGTAAAAGTGCTTGGATTTTCTTCATCAGTAGCTTTTCTGATAGGAAAGTGAATCTAGTTGGTACTTTGGGGGGTCAAAAGTATAAATTTCCCAGTAGTTTTCACAAGCGCCGGGAAAAACAAAACAACATAAAAATTAAGGAAAAACGGGAATTTTTACGCAAAATTGGTTTTGTTAATTTGGTTAAAAAATTCTTGTTTTTAGTTTTTTTTCTAAAAATATCAATACAATTTTATTTGTTGGTTGCAAAAGCTTGAAAATTTAATTTAAGGCTCCTAGTATAATATTGTTTCAAAGTCAGAAGAAAAATATTAAAAATCCTTAGTCACAATTTTTTTTTATAAGCATTTAAAGTTCAAAAATTGACAAAATATGGAAAAATCACGAAAATTAGCAAATTATTTTGAGTTAAGAATTCGTAAAAATTTTTCTTTTTAAATCTAAGATTTGAAAATGAAACACAAAATTCCTTATAAGATTATCTACCTTTATCGATAAAAAAATCTCTACCGGACAGTCAAATTAAATTTTTATGAGCGTTTGAAATTCAAATTTTTACAACATTGGATATTCACTCGATTACTCATGTAGCGATTTCTTTATTTTGTTGCAATTCAAAAACGAACAACTCTAGATACATGAAAATTTCACTCAATGTTTAAATTAGCATTTTCTATACACCATACAATTTTGAAAATATTTTGACACTTTTTGAGCTGTTTATGGACATTTACAGCTTTCAATTTTTTTTAGTTTTTTTTCTATAAATATCAATAAAGTTTTATCTGTTGGGCCAAAAAGTGTAAAAATTTAATACAAGGCTCCTGATATATTGTTACAATAGAAGTTGAAAAATATTAAAAATACATAGGCACAGTTTTTTTTTATAAGCATTTAAAGATCAAATTTTGACAAAATTTATCAAAATCTCGAAAATTATCAATCATTGTAATTAATAAATTATAAAATGTTCAGTTTTTATAGCTAAGGATTACAAATTCAACCCAAAGGTTCTCATAAATAGTTCATACTATAACCAAAAAATCTAAAAAATATATGAACACACTTATTTTTTACAGACATTTTAAATTCAAATTTGGACGAAATTACATATTAAAAAACCTAGAATAACTATTTTAGTTATTTTGTTGTGATTGAATAATATTATTCGTGGGTACTTGAAACTTCTAAAGTGTACTATTATATATCTACGATAGTATCACGGCTTTTGTTGATGTATAACGTGTTATAAGTATCTAATGGATATTGTGATATGATTAATTTGGAATTTATTATAGGTACCTATTATAGGTCAATTTTTTTTTAATACCATAGATATGTATATAATATGTCTTATACATAGACTGACATACCGTCACCGCTCAGAATCGTTTTTCTTATACAATGATATTATATCATTGAATTCAAATTTAATACCATCCATTATACAGTGACCCACTTGTAACCTACTGTACAGCCGAGCGACACCCACTTGCCCACCTTTTTTACTATTAAGTATTAACCTTCAAGCTATCATTGTCCATAGTAGGTCACTCTTCAGTCTATACTTGCCCCCTATAAATTAATTTTTTTGAAGAGCATTTCTTCAACAAAATCCTTAACTTAATCTATAGATGTTTATTGAAATATATTGGAATTAGATCAACATTCAAATAGTTAATACTACATATTACTTTACATATTATTCATTTATAATTAGTATATAGTTAGGGACAAAGTATTTACCCAAAATAAACGATCGCGTTTCCAAAAAATATTGTTGTATTTTCTTACAAAAATATTCTTGGAGTCCGGACTCATTATACATTTTAGATTATGAAAGTCAACGAGGTCGTTATTGGTTGTGACGTTGTGTTGATGATCGTTCTAGTTCTGCAAAACTGGCCAGGCATGAATAGTACATATAATATATCATTGAATATATACAATATACATATTATATAGTGTATACTGTATGTGCTCATGCCTACATATTTATGCAATATGCAATATCGTCTACTACAGGGGTCAGGGATGGCTGACCCGCGGCCCTCCTTGGAAAGTTTCGGGGGATGTGAGATTATCAAACATTTACAAAAAAAAAATGTATTTTAATTAAAAAATAATAACGTTCAACACTT